TTTTGTTACCCCGGAAAAAAAAAAAAAAAAAAAAAAAAAAAAAAAACTATGTTATTTAGGAGATTCAGTTCTTTTCGGTTGAAGATACTTTCTGGTTATCCAGTCTCCCGGTTATTCTTCAGTAATATTTTGGCTAGCTTTCTTGTTTTCTGAGATGAACTCACATACACTTTATGGGTATTATTTAACCGTTCTTTCATTTGTCTACCTTTTGAAAACTTATTTTCTTCCCTGTTCACTGTTAGACTTTCTCCTTTTTCACATCTTCCACTCTTAGCTTTTGTTTAATTATAGCTTTGAAATACATTTTGAGTTGTAAGAATGGTGGTGGCTTATTCCTTTATTTAGTCACATTGGTTGCGCTAAAGAAAATAAAAACAACTAAATCTTATCAGAAGGAGAATCAGCATGAGGGGTGAGAAGTTTCTGGTACTGATGAATGTTTGACTAGATGGTGATCAGTGCTTTCTGCCCTTTCAGGTGGGGCATGCTCTGGAGGACCCTAGCATGTCAGCGGCACACTGTTCCAACTCAGGATCCCATGTGGCTGAGCCCCAAACTCCTCTTAGATTTGCACAGGAAGAAAAAAGAACCTGTATTTTTGCAGATAGTCGTGAAATAACTTCTGGTCTCACAGTCATTTCTTCCCTAAGAGCAGTTCATGGCTTCCATGTAGAAGTCTGTCCTCTGAACGGTTGTGACTACATTGTGAGTAACCGCATGGTAGTGGAAAGGAGATGTCAGTCTGAGATGTTAAATGCTGTCAGTAAGAACAAGCTCATTGAACAAATCCAGCACCTGCAGAGTACATTTGAAAGAATATGTGTGATTGTGGAAAAAGACAGAGAGAAAACAGGTTTGTATTTTAAAATGTCTGTTTATAAGATGGTGAAGAAATGTGACTATTATTGCTGGGGATTTAGCTCATTGATTCTGCTGCCTGCCTTGCTGCAAGTGCAAGGTCCTGAGTTCAATCCCCAGTAACCCCCCCCACACACAAAAGAATTGTGACCATTATAATTCATTCTTTTATTGTCAGAGGTGGAAAACTCTTAACATATAAATACATATATACATTATACATTTTAATGCTATTTTATTTTTTATGTGTCATTGTATTTAAATGAATCTAATGAGAATTGAAAGGTGAAAAATAGGCTAGTGAGTCAATCGAAGACTTTTTCAGGAACCCCAGGAAAGATGAGAGTCTTAAGGAAGACAGCAGTGGAGAAGTGGAGAATTTGAGAGGTGTTTAGTAATCGGGATTTCCAGGAGTTGGTGGGAGTTGAGAATTACTCGTAGCTGACCAGCTTGTTGGTAGTGGGGAAGTTAGGTGATGGTGCTTTTGTTGCACATATAAGTATAAAAGAAACAGCAGATTTGAAGGGCAAGGTAAGGTCAATTTTAAACATATTAAGATTCTTGAGTTCAAAGTGGGTATCTAGGAAGCATTTGGAATTGGAGGACTAGTGTTAGTTGGGAATTTGCATGGTAATTGTTTAATTGTATGGAGAGTCCCAGAGACTAGTGAAAAGATCATGGCATATGGAATCAGAATATGTATTGATTGCTGGTTTCTCTATAGCTAGGTAACGTCACACTGACGGTTCATTCCCTCTGTTGTGACAGGTGTGCTAAGAAGTATTGATAATATACGTGTCCTACTTGTCTCATGGTATCTTGAGAGTTAAGTGAAGTCATGTAGTTGAAAGCTGTGCAAAAATTGAAGAATTACATGTAAAAGGAAATATAGTTTATGTAAAATATTGGTTTGAGGATTAGGCAACTTTTACATCCTCATGCTGTCATGGGTAAACCATGCAACCTTGAATAAGTCACTTTTTCAGTAATCCAGTGTTTTTCCTTTATCAGTGCTGGCATGAAAAATCATAGAGGTGTAATATAGCTTTGGTCGTAACTCTCCCTTACCATTCACCTTCCTGTGTTGACTTCAGGTTAAAACACTTGGAAAGACCATTCTTATTTTAGCTCGCAGATATTTGAGAATCACTTAAAAACTTACCTGTGAGGTTTCTCATTAGTAGAATATAGCAGTAGTTTGTTCAGTGGTGTGGGTTTTAGACTTTTACTAATATGCATTAATGAACCTATTTAATATTACTTACTAAAATTTGCATTTTTAAAAATATGATATATTTAGGAGACACATCAAGAATGTTTAGGAGAACAAAAAGCTATGACAGTCTGCTGACCACCTTAATTGGCGCTGGAATCCGAATTCTTTTCAGTTCCTGCCAAGAAGAAACTGCAGATTTGCTAAAGGAACTATCTTTAGTGGAACAAAGAAAGAATGTTGGTATTCAAGTTCCAACAGTGGTGAATAATAGTAAATGTGAGGCACTTCAGTTTTATTTAAGTATTCCCAATATAAGTTACATAACTGCATTAAATATGTGCCATCGGTTTTCATCTGTGAAAAAGATGGCTAACAGGTATGTCTATTTTAGTAACATTTTACTTTATTTATTTAATTTTTTGGTACTAGGATTCAAACTCGGGTCCTTGCACTTGTGAGGCAGGTGGTGGCACCACTGAGCTAAATACCTGGCCCTATTTTAGTAATATTTTCAAGTGATTGTTTTTCAGTGATTCTTAGCATTTTGTACAATTTGAATATTTTCAAAAGGAAGCATGGTGCATGCTATATTTTATTCTGTAAAGTTTCTTTTGACTGCCAACATACTTCATGAAGCTGAAGATAATAATGGGAAAATATGAAAAATGAAAAATAGTATAGTCATTGCCATTAGGGAACTTAGAGCTATATATGGAGGCAGACAGTAAACCCTTACATTTGACCTTGTACTCTTAGCATTTCTAGACCATTCAGTTCTTTAACTAGACAAATATTCAAGTTGAGAATTTCACTAATTTTTTTCCTTGTGCTGGGGATCAAAGCCAGGTCTATGGCGCAGGCTGCCCCTTGGCTGCATAGCTTCCTGGAGTAGACAGCAGTGAGGGGGCACATGAAGGAGCAAGTTAGTTAGCACATCGTAAGCCAGACTCAGAGGGAGAAATGGGCTCCGTACCCCTGACCAGGACAGTGCTAGCTCTGATAACCCAAGGACTAGGCTCCCACCTCTTAGCAGTCCACCCATCTTCTAATACTGCCACCTTGGGGTCTAAGTTCCCTAAACATGAACCCTTTTCGGGGACACAAACCATATTCAGTCCATAGCACCAACACAGTGGGACTAGGGGTCTAACATCTGAATTTTAGGGGAGACACAAACATTTAGTCCATTGCAGATGTTGAAATCAGTATTTTTTTAGATTGGAGTTCTTTAGGTGAGATCAGAAAATTAAATTTTATAAAAGCCAAAGGTTTTAGTATAATGTTTTTCTCTATCATTTATTTTCCAGCTCACCTGAAGAAATCTCCATGTACGCACAAGTAACTCCTGGGAAAGCTGAGGAAATCTATAGATACATTCACTATGTATTTGACATGCAAATGTTACCAAATGATCTAAACCAAGATAGACTGAAGTCTGATACATGATCAGACTACTTCAAGGTGCTGTTCTTAAAGAACTCTCACAATACTACGCGCACTTCAATAATTGTGGTTTGTGATTAACAGTTTAAGATGTAAATAATATTTATCATTTAGATATCATGTATATTTTTATTTATATGGAATATATGAATTATTAAAAAAGGATATCTCTTGTGCAATAATTGTTTTGGCTAACTGGAGTATGAAACTAACTTTTAAAATTAAATAACATTTGTTAAAAGTGCTGTTAAGTGTAGGTAGATGTCTCCCCAAAGCTTCAGTCATAGATGGAGCTTTTCAGAGGCAGCTGGATCTAGAGTGTGTGATGATGGGATCAAGGGTGTGTGATTATTAAATTAGTCCACTGATTGGTTTGGCACAGTTCTGGGTCTGGATAATAAGGTCCCCCTGGGTGTGAGTGCTACCTGACCTAAGGGTGTGTAGCCTGGATAGAATATAAGGGACAGAAAGTGGTTGCTGCTTGCTTCCTGCTTGCTTGCTGCTTCTTTGCTGCCTTCTGCCCGCATGAACTGTTTCTCCTCTGCAACGCCCTTCTGCCTTGCCATCCTGCCTTGCAGCCAGCCAACTGTGGACTGAAACCTCTACAAACTGTGAGCCAAATAAACCTTTTATTCTTTAACTTTGGATGTGGGCTATTTAGTCTCAGCAACAAGAAAAATAACTAACACTAGAGATGTGGATAGAATGTGTCTTGTCAGATAAATGACCAGTAAAAAGGAAAGAAAATGTGACTGTCATCCACACCAAAGATATCCAGGTCAAGTACAATCAAATCTTACTAACATGAATTCCAAGCTACATTCCTTTTGTTGTTCTTGAAATATACTTATTACGTGGTACATTGGTTTAGACTTGGGAAGTTTTTTTTTTTTAATTATTGAATGTGGACTTCCATTTTGATGCATTGTGTTGTGATGGTGTTGCATGTCTTAAAGTGACTCCATGTTTATATCTGCAATATGAACAAGGCCTTTTCTTTTACTTTTTGTCTGGTGAGAGGACACAGGGAATCTGAGCTCGTGGTCAGTGTGAAGTTGTGGAAGGACCAGATGTGTCCGGGGCATAGCTCCATCCCCATGCCCTACCACACGTACTGTCAACAGACCATGTGTAGTAGGTGGCCTTTAATTTCCCCTCCATTTAGAGTCCTTAATTTGCTGACCTTATTTTTGTCTCCCGTTAACACTGTTGGGTAGTTGAACCAGTCACAATATAGCACTTTTCTCACTTTAGACCTAGCAGGTGGAAGGGAAGCAGAGCTCAACTACTTTAGATTACGTCTTTCTTTCCTCTCTTATTATATAATAATAGTGAGGCCCAGAACAAGTGACTTTTTCAAATTTAGACCAGCAAATCTAAAACTTGAAGCTGGGAACTAGAAACTGTTCTCTTTCACTCAGATGAGGGTGGGTGGTGGCAGGAGCAGTAGGGGGAGGTTATTCTAATGTTGAATTTTGCCCATCAGAGAAAGTATAAATGGAATTCTTGTGAAAACAGCTGACTTCTTACCTGCTGTCCAAAACTGCAAAGCCAGAGAAAAAAGAAATACTGTGTATGTACTATGGCTGGTGTGTGGTTAATAATTTTATTGCCTTTCACATCTAGGACTAGATTTTTATTTTATTTATTTATTTATTTTGCTACTAGGGATTGAACTCAGGACCTTGCACTTGGGAAGCAGGCAGTGGCACCACTGAGCTAAATCCCTGGCCCCTACGACTGGATTTTTAAAAAGCATTTCTCCTTTACATTGAACAGATGCTAAGCTTTGTCAGGAGCAGGAAGGAGGCTGTTCGTACTGGTTCCAGTGTGCTGCCTTGCCTTCCGTGTTCTGTTGGCGAGGACATGGACAGCGCGCTGCCCCAGGAGCGTGTGCTCCCTGCATAACTGCTCACTGACCTGGCTGGATGACCTGTGCGCAGACCCTCTCTGCATGTCCTCTCATCAGACAAAATTTGCAAAAATTAACATGATGGGAGAGAAGTAATGTAGAGGATTTCATTTATTTTTGAAGCATTCTCTTTATCACAGCTTGCAGTTGCTCCTGTGTTCTCATTGGCACCCTACTGATTACCAGTCCATCTTACTTCAGGGGCCCTCAGATTACAACCAGCTTGACATACAATTTGGATTATAACTGGAATTTCAGTTTTAAATTCAACAAGTCTTAAGTTGCGACCCAGATGCCAGCTGCTTGTGCTTCCAAATGGTCTCAGATACAGATTTAACCCTTAAAGAGTTCTGGAAGGAACATTACACCACCTTTTCCTGTGTGGCATTGAGAAATCCTGGGCCAGTATCTCTAGGGACACTGAGATCTGTGAATGTACAGGAGAGAGACTTTGAAGGCTATGTAGAGGAGCCTGAGCACCTTCAATTGACAACTTGAGTTACTACCAGCCCTCGAGAATGAACTGAGTTTGTAAGTCAAGCATCCACTGTACTTTAGTCCTTCAGCGTTCAGTCTTTTGTTTTCCACATGTAAGTCTTATTTGGAGGTTATAGACCTTAAGCATTATTACTGGTTGTTTTTGAACTCATAGTGATCCTGCTGCCTCAGTCTCCCGAGCACTAGGATTACAGGCCTGCACCACCAGACCCGGCCATTATTTGCTTATGACCTCATGGATCTGGGACCTAGCAGGTGGGGTAGATTAGTATAGGAAGGACACTGAAGGTATTCCAACAGGACACAGAGAACATGAGCCAGACTCACTGGTCAGCATCAAGTCTGTGCCATGTCAGAATGACCCTTGTGTCTTCTGTGATGGAGTTCCATAACCTTAACTTACAGACACTACCCACAAACCTCATACAGCACAGCATTATATTAGCAACTCCAGTTCCACAACAGTACTTTTTAAGGCCCTCTTTAAAAAGTCTTTCCATTCTACATCTACCAAGGTCTTTGGGACAGAAATTACCATAGTGGTTTATAGAAGGATCCTATGATTATATAACTGCTGACTAAAACTATTAAAAAGCAAATTTAATTTCTATTAAAATTCAGGTATTTTTTGAAGACATTTAGAACCATTAACAGAATGGACATTTGTTTTCTTTCTCTAGATAGTTAAAAAAGCAAACAAAAAAATAACAACCCAGAAACAAATCCTATAAAAGCAAACTAACTTTATTTGAACAATCTAACTGGAAAGGAGAGATCAATGTGTACTAGAACCAGAAGGAAAATATTTTATGTTAAATTTTAAAAACACAATTGGTAAAGTAAGTTAAAAGTATTTTTAGAGGAGCTGTCAATGAAAGAAAATTCCTTTAACATTAACTTGATTCCTTATAATAGTGGCTCTGTTAACTCCATGTTTAAGCTTTTTTAGTTTTTTAGTCTTTTAAGACAGGGTCTCGCTATGGTAGTTCAGGTTGGCCTTGAACTCACTATGTAGCCCAGGCTGGTGTCAAACTTGTGATTACAGGTGTGTGATACCATGCCCAGCCTAATCATTTTAATACTGAGACCAAATTTAAACTGTTCGTATACGTAAAAGGCTACAGAATGCAACCGAAATCTGATTTCTGGTTCTGTCTAATAAAATACTGAAGCAAGATTAAATTTGCATAGTTTGGATAGGCCAATCACAAGTTTCAAGAAAAACAATCGAGAATCACGTCAGATGTTTCAACAATGTACGATTTAAACATCAGATCAACTACGGTTTTAATATGTGGCGGCCACAAGGCTAAATGTTTCCATGGATTCAACAGCCACCTCTCTTCCATCTCCCTTATGTCCCTCACTTAGGGCAGCAACGTATTTTTGAAAACTTTAAAAAAATATATTTGGGAAATATTTTATAAAAGCAAACAGACTTGGATACTTATAAGAGTAAAGTATATATATTTTAATATTATAAACCATATTTACAAATGTCTGCACAAAACAATTTTCCTTACATTTTTGGTGAGATGCAGCAATGGGGAATATTTTAGGATATTTCACTTTGCACGAAAGCATGAAACCTTTGAAAAAAGAATCTACATTTTCATATGAACCTCCACCATAAAGAAAATACATAAGTATTCTCTAAATGTAGATACAAATACACCATCTGCTTTTTTGTAAAAGTCCTGGAAATCACATTTTTCTATGCAGAATCAGAGTTTGAAAAATAATAATCTTTCTCTTCTTCATCTAAAGATTCCATAGCATTAGTGAAAAGTTTTCCAATACCGGAGTTTTCTCCTAAATCTGCAAGAAGGAGTAATAAAAAGAATTAGTAAGTTCCAAGTAATTTCAAAAAACTGAAAACAACTGTAAGGAGATAAATGGCAGGTCGGTTGAACACAGCCAACTAATTTTAGGACCATCTATGTAAAGAGATTGCCCATAATAAAACCAAAGTACAAAAGAAATTACCTCTGTGAAACAGTGTTTTTCTTGTTGGGCTTGAAGAAACAGTTTCAACCTACAAGAGAGTTCATATTAATACTCAGTAAATAGTGTTTCTAGTGATAACTCATCTCTCTGTCCAGATACTCTGAGTGTACACCTGCAACGCTGCTCACTTTATTGTTATCAGATGCCCAATTTTAAGTTGAGTATCCAAGGGAAAAGCCACGACTTAATAAATGTTGGCAAACATCACTATAAGAAAACATTTATGAACGGATGCTACAGTGACTAGAGATAGTCTATAGCTTTGAAAAGTTGCCAAACTATACTAAGTACTTATTTAAATAATTACTACTCTGGGCTAGTAAACTTAACTCAGAATACAAACACACTTTTTAACATAATTAACTGGATATAGGTAAAAACACACTAAATTTAGAAAATGTACAGTATAAGGAAAACTCCCTGTACTTCACATTCTTGGCTAAAATGGTAATAACATGGCAAGTTTTAAGAGCATTCTCATATAAATTTTATTAGTGCTTTTCAAAGCATTGGCCATATTTTTTTCCTTACAAAATGAATAGGAAATATGACACAATATTACTTTCTCTACTAAGAGTAAGTACCATTTGTGAGAAACTAACTGGAGATCAAAATTCATGCTCATAGACAGTAATATAAAAACATCATTAAAATAATTCAATAATGTAAACCAATATCATGAAAGAAAGCCAGGGATTTAGCTCAGTGGTGCTGCTGTGTGCCTTGCAAGTGCGAGGTTCTGAATTGATCCACAGTACCACAAAAAACAACAGCAACAACAACATAGAAAGCCCAAGTAGCTTCCTCAGCAGTGTAAGCTGGTATGGGTTTCAAAGACTGAAGTGAATACTTTTAACAGTCCATGGCTCTCTCCTTCCTAAATATTGGCTGTAAAATATTAGGCTATGAAAAAAATGTGGCTAAATTATAATGGAATTATAGTTTGGTAGATGGCTCAAATTATAACCCTCTAAAGAACAAAAAAGACATAAAAAGAATTAAGACGTGTCATGTACATGGACCAATTCCCCACTATGAATGTAATTGTCATGTACTGTAAACAAATTAAAAAATTTAAAAACTAAGATGATTCCAGGAATAGAAATTAAAGTTTTAGAAGACTTGGGAAACACAGACCTCCTTTTTTTCTGATACCAGGGATTAAACTTGGGACACTTGCACTTGGCAGGTAGGCAGCGGTACCACTGAGCTAAATCCCTGGCCCTGAAATTAAAGTTCTTAAAAGCAAAGACCTTTTTAATTTGATTCTTGTATTGGGGATTGAACCAAGACTTTCACACTGAGCTATCCCGGGTCTTTTAAAATACTTTATTTTGAGGCAGAGACCAAGTTGCTCAGGCTGGCGTTACTCCTGCCTCAGCCTTCCAGAGTTTTAGGATTATAGGAATGGACTGCCACGTCTGGCTCCTCTGCCTCCCTCTCTCCCTCTCTCTCTTCTTCTCCCCCCACCCCCTGTCTCTCCCCTCTTGCTCTCTCCCTCCCTCTTTCTTTTTCAGTTTTTTGAAACAGGATCTTGCTATGTAGTGCAGGCTGGTCTCGAACACTCAGTGATCCTCCTCCTTTACACTCCCAAGTGCTGGGATTACAATTACAGGTGTGTGCTACCACACCCGACTGTATCAACCTCTTCTCATTTTGCAGAGAAAACAGGCTAAATGTATTACAGCCTTGCCACTCAGTCTGGTCTGAGGATCAAATGGAGCTCAACAGAAATGCAGATCGCAAACTATAGCTTCAGAATCTGGGATTTAACAAGATCCCTGGTGAATTCTATACACATTTATGTTTGAGAAACACTGGAGGAGTGCACTAATCAAAGCAACCCACTTTACTGGCAAAACGGACTAGAAGCCAAATCTTTATAGCCTCCCATTGCATTGTTAAATCCAGGTTCTTTGCAAAATACCACATTTCATTATCAGTAAGGACTTTGGGATTGGATAAAGGGATCTTAAAGACCAGCCAGGAGTCTAATTTCATTATGGAACACTGAGTTCTTTGGAAGAACTGAGTCCCCAGACTTCCCCACTATTTCCCATGTACAAATGAAGTCCACAAGGATGGATGTGATTATGTAATCCCAGGATTTACAGGACCTTGAGAGGAATTATACTTTAGTCCATCTGCAGTGTGAATATTTTAAAGTGCAAATGATAGGGAAGGTTGGCCATAACCTAGTCTGCAGGATACTCTGACGGGATAAATGGGCTATCCTACTCCTTTTGCATTTGTCATACTCCTAATAGTGTTAGCTATGTACTTTGTGGAAATTCAAGGTGAATCACCTTTCCTAGAAACTTAGTAATTATGTCTGGTTATGAGCTGTTTAACATAAAATCAGAAAGTGGATATTTAGAAAGAAATGCAGGAGGGGCCAGGGATTTAGCTCAGTGTTCTGCCACTTGCATTGCAAGTGCAAGGTCTCAAGTTCCATCCCTGGTATCAAAAACAAACTGCAGGGGATGTAACTTGGTGCTGCTGCACCTGCCTGGCAAGCACAAGGTCCTGAGTTTGATTCCTGGTAACACAGAAAAAAAAAACAAAAAACAAAGGGATAGTGGATTTTCTTAATTTTTTTCTCAAAGACATACAGATCATTCAGCAACCTTGGATTAAAATTTTTAATTGTATGGGGCCGGGGATTTAGCTCAGGGGTTCGGTGGCCTGCATTCAATCCCCAGTAACCCCCCTCCAAAAATTTTTTTTAAATTGTATTTTAAATATTGGAATGTTAAATAAAACTAAGTAGTTCAATCTAAAAAATTTGAAGCCAGGTATAGTGGTGCATGCCTATAATCTTAGCACTCAGGAGGCTGAGGCAGGAGAATCACCACTGAGTTCATCAAGTCTAGACTGAACTAAGAGTGAGACTACTTTCTCAAAACAAACAAATACATTTGAAATTACTTTGAATATGCAAGGGATTTGATAAAAATTTCTTACTCTATGAACAATTATGATGCCATTCGTGGGGATGGACTATTATCCAGTCACTGTACAGATACTGGGTACTGCATGAAAAGCCCTTCCCTAACCGATATTTTCCCACCTAAACCTTGTTTTCAAATGGAAACTTTTTAGCCATTCTCACTTGGCTTCAGTGCTTCAGTTTATGAGCAGCCATCTGTAATTTTACAGCATTTTTATGTTTATCGTGTTCATACCTAGAATTTACTCAAGTGTATGTCCCTGGAGAGTGAGCATGGGTTGAATCTACAATTTATCACATATTACATTGTTCTACAGATAAGTATTGGATGGGTGAAAATAGAAATAAAAATACTTACTTTTTTTTTCTTGATGTTGCCCCAGACAATGCCACCATTACTTTTATGATTTTTTTGTATACGAGAAACATATTTATCACAATCATTCCTGTTTGGATATAACATAATTTCAAGTCAACATTAATTATCATACTTCTATCTACAAGTTGAACAGCAACTGATAAAATCTATTTCAATATTAAAAAAGTAATTTTCTATTTTAAAGATGACAGTGGTACGCCTGTGGAACTGGACAAACTGCTTCAAACTTTTTTTTTTCTTCAGCCCTAGGAACTGAAACAAAGCCTCTGCACTGAGCTATTTCCTCACCCCTTTTAAAAATTCATTTTGAACCAAGGTTTTCTAGGTTGATAAATGCCCTGGCTGGGCCTGACCTTCTGACCTTCCTGCCTCAGCTGGTTACAGGTATGTGCCCCCTTACCCAGCTTTCACCCAATATTTTAAGGGAAACACTGAAGAAGACTATTCTAGGAAATTGTGCTTTGGTTATCGTCTCATCAGTATTCTTTCTCAAGTGTATCTTGCTTCTCTTTTACAAAGCCCTCAGTTCTTGCTGCTGGATGCCCCTTTGTTGCACTGTGTACCCCTTTTTTTCCTGTTCACTTCCTTTGCTATCCAGATTGAATTTCAAAGGTGATCAGTTTAAGGATATGCCTGATGATGAAAACCCTCAATTTGCATCTTCCGATTGTGTTGTGTTTACATCCAGCTCAGCAAGCCTTTTATTTCTACATAATTTTTTTCCTCCATAATTAAATGTATTTTCAATAGCTATGAACATTTCTGTATTTTTCCCATTTCCGTACTATGCCAGGTGCTCTTATTTATCAGTGTGTACGGATGAAGCGTCTTCCGGAGAAGTGACTGGAGCGCAGGAAGGCTACACGATGTTCACACCGCCCGGCGTTGGGAGGGGCGGCTGCAGTAGGCAGTCACTGCAGGTGGGGTCACCTCTCACTGGGTGGTCTCCCTGCACTTGGTTTCCCACCCCACAAAGGGAGCAGTCTGCTTTCCCACGACATCCACCAGCCTGTTCCTGCCTTGGGAGGAGCCAACTATGTGTTGGAAGCTCTAAACTGTGAGTAAACCTCTTCTCTAAGCTGCGGGTGTTAGGTATTTTGTCCCAGCAACAGGAAAGCTAATATATTAACTTACTTTATTTCTTCTCCTGCTCATTCTTAGCAAAAAGAACTGATTTATAATTTACTGCTGATAACAGAAGCCAAACAAAATGGTTATTTTCCGTTCCCTTCCCTCCAATTCCTAGTCTCACTTATGATAGTAAACAGAAGGTGAACAGTTCTCATCCTCTCGGTCCCAAGATCTCACGCGAGCTCTTTCTATAATGATTGTGTGGGAGCATCCTCAATTGTATATGATATATAGAAATTTGGAAATGTGTGACCATACCGCAGTATTTATATTAATCCAAGCACTGCTATGCAGCCAGAGCAAAGTGCAGTTGCTAGCACATTGCTTAACAAAAGAATAGGCCTGCTCAACTACACAGGATCACTACCTCCTAAATCTACTGTTTGAGGCAGAGAAGTCTGCACTTCTGAAGTGCTAAAACTGTAATTAAAGGAAGCCAACTACCGGAGCTGGTGAAGTCAGGAGATAGTGAAGAGCACTAGGAAGTGACCAAAACAATGAGGAAAAACAGATTCACGATGTCAGCAAGTCTGTGATGCATGTTATCTACAGGGAAAAAAAAAAAAGGCACATTTTCCTGAATTTTACAGCAGTATAAACAGAAATGCCTTTCTATGAAAACAAAAACCTAAAACATACGCCAGTGTCATTCAGTAGGCTAAAGATAATGGCTGATGTTTTAATCCGCAAAATTAAATTTCGCTATGAATTCATGTTGTAAAATTGGGTTCATGTTGTATGTAGTTTTATTTCTTAGCTTTGAAAAACTATTCTCACTGAACATTATTATGTCATGAAAAATTCTTGAAAATAACTTGATTTTTAATGTTATGTATTATTCTGGTATATGGAGGAAATGTTCACAACTGTTCCTTTCTTTTGGATTTTTAGGTTATTTTCAAATTTTCAGTATTATGCATTGTGATAAATCTGTATTTATACCAATATATATATATATATATATATATATTGGTTTAAATCTCTTATTTCCTTAGAATAAAATTCATATTTTAAAATTTTGAATGATTTAGCCAAAATGCTTACCAAAATCTTATCCAAAGTTATACTATCAGTATACTTTTACCTGCCTTAAATACTAAAACAAAATAAAAAATAATTTGTGGATTGCAAATTTTTTTCTCTCCAATAAATGCAAAGTAAAATTTCACCAAGTTTTATGGGAGTATTGACTAGTTTTTCATCATTCATCATCTGGCTTCTTTCAATACTGTAGAAATTGCTCTAAAATAAGCTCTGGTCTCTTTAATTGCCTATTTTTAGGCCTCTTTTTAATGCTTCATCTTTTCTGTGATATTTGAATGTTGTTCACTCTTACTCTTAAAATTTTATTCGTATTTCAACTTATGTCGACATGGTTCAAAATTCAAGTCTCCCTCACTGCCTTAGTTCCTCACCTTCAAGATCAATTTTAGTTTTGTATTTATCTTTTCAGATAATTAATCTAATGAAAGTTATTATGTATATATGCACACATATAAGCACACTACTACATATATATCTACATATGCATTATATCTATATAAGGAGTCCATCAAAAATGTATACATCAGGAAAAGAAAAACTTGTATAAATATTTTAATACTAAATTTATTGAGACATCATCAGATTAATACAAGTTAACTTTGGCCTCTATAATTCAAGAGGTGCTCAATTCAAGTGGTGGGCATTTGCTTCCAGACATTTATTAGTACAGCAAACTCCTGAAGGGTGTCTACACTTTTTGGGCAGACTTTATAGGTATGACCTCCATTTAAAGAAAGAGTAGTACACTGTCCATTGCATCTAGCTTCTTTCACTTAATATATCTTAGGCATTTTATCAAATACTAATAAAAACTTTTCTTCATTAATTTTGACAACTACATATGTATTAGGTTTCTTGTCACTGGGTTACAATACTCAATACCCGCAACTTAGAAGAGCACCTGGTTTCAGCAGATTTAGCACATGGTCAGCTGACTCCAGGGCAGGAACATGACAGCAAAGGGCATGTGGAGCAAAGATGCTTACTTAGTCCATGGTGGCTGGGAAGGAGAGCAGGGAAGCAGTGCCAGAAAGGGCTGAGGGACCATATCTAGTATCCAAGGTCACTGTTCCATGACACACCGGGAATTGTGCTCCACCAACCCCTAAGCAGTTCCCAAGCCCATCAAGTTGACTTAGTCAAGCTTAACCTTTACAACATACCAGATTTAATTGGTCCCTGTTGAGGGACATTTGAGTTATGCCCTTATCCAGAAATGATTCTGGTTTATTTTCACAATTTTAGAATTAGGATTCCTGGGTCACAGAACACGTGCATTTATACTTTTGATAGATATTGACAAATTATTGTGTAGATTGTACTGGTTTGCCTTCTTGCTAACAATGCACAAAAAGGGTGCTATTTCTTTCTTCTTTTTTGTTTTTGAGACAGGTTCTCACTATGTAGCTGAGACTGACCTGGAACTCACTATGTAGCCCAGGCTGGTCTCGAACTCGCGATCCTCCTGCCTCAGTCTCCCGAGTGCTGGGATTACAGGTGTGCGCCACCACGCCTGGTGCTATTTCTTCTTAATATGTAGGAGTGCTGCTGGGGATTTAGCTCAGTGGTGACTCGTCTGCCTTGCAAGCACAAGGTCCTGAGTTCAATCCCCAGTACAAAAAAAAAAAGGAGTGCTAAATATATTTGTGACAAATTGCCCTTTTACCTATGACAAATTACATTATATTCTTTTCTCTAATTGCTTATTGTGGTTAGTATGAAATAAAACAAATTCTTTACACTTCAATTTACATGTAAAACTAATCCATTTGGAATTTATCCTGATGTAAAGCATGAGCTATATCCCAATATAATTTATTGAGTAACATCCTTAAATTCCTGCATCTTCCCCTCACTACCTTAGTTCCTCTCCTTAAAGATCAATTTTAGTTTTGTACATATCTTTTCAAATAATTAATAAAACTTACTATGGATATATGCACATATATAAGCACTTAGGAACTATTCATTCTTCATTAAAAAAATTATAACTATTACTTTTAGATTCCTCAACTTACAAAATGCTTAGGAGAAATAACAGTATAAGAGGGACATGGCTAAGATGACCTTGGGAAAGCACAAACCAATTACACCAACAGCTTGGATTCTCTTGCTTGTGTGGGTAGGGCTGGACAAGCCCACAGTACTGATGGACAGTCCAGGAGATTATAAGATCACCAATCTGCATCCTCTCTCCAGTTTCAGGCTGACTACTGACCTACGCCTTGGAACCCCTCTTGACCTTGGACCTACCTTGAGCTCTAAATCAGCCACAGACAGAGGAGGAGAGCTCTCAAAGACCCAGGAGGAGAATGTGTGGTGTGCTGGTGTGCTGGGGAGTCTGGATGTATCAGCCTAGCAGACTCAACATCTCTTTGTTGTCATGCAAAAGCCATGGCAGGATTACAGAGGGGAGGAGGCTGTCCCTTCCTTGCCTCCATTGCAGGGGGACCAGATACTTTGTTGTGTTAAGTTTCCAGGGGCTGCTATAACAAATTGCATAAATAATACAAGTTTGTTGTCTTATGGTTCTGGAGGTCAGGAGTCTGAAAGGAATCATAAGGGGCTAAGTAAAATCAAGGTGTCGGCAGAGCTCGCTCCTTCTGCAGGGTTCCCTGGCACTGGGCTGCACCATGCCTGTCTCTGCTCCTCATGTCATAGCTCCTTCTTTCACTCTGACCCTTCTGCCTCCCTGTTACAAAGACCTGTGATTGCCAGGTGCTGTGCTGCACACCTGTAGTCCCAGCTACTTGGGAGGCCAAGGCAGGAGGATCCCAAATGTGAGGCTAGCTTGGGTATTTAGCAATAAGACCTGTCTCAAAAAAGAAAACCTAAAATATCTCAGAATACAGAATACTTAAATGTTCCTCAGTCGCCTGTTGCAGGAAATTAATATATCACGTACATACTCACCTTTTTATAGAGGCTAGCATGCCAGGACTGACGTGCTGACATTGAGGAGTTTTTGCCAATGGAAAGGTAACTGATGGAGTTGCTGGATTTCTGTCCATAGCTGGCAGAATGTCATCACCATCTTGACTGTCCCAGAAACTTGGCAACTAGAAAATAAATTGGGCAGAATATTATCATCTTGACAAGTGGAAAACAAACATTTTAGGCAGACACCTGTAAAGATGAGTTTTCTTATTATAACAAAATGATTTTTGGTGGTCTGAAAAATTTTCTTCTTTATAATTCTCCAGATTAGATAACTTATAAAAGTAGCATGTGAGAGCCTTAGAAACCAATATTTTCTTCTGCAAAATGGAGACAGTGACACCTCTTTCTAAAGGCTATCTAGACCAGAGATAGACAAATATTTTCTCTAAGGAGAACTGTCACTGTAGAATGAAAACAGCCGTAGACAATATGCAAACAAATGGGCATCGCTGTGTCCCAATAAAATTTTGTTTGGATAAACAGGCAATAGGTTGAATTTGGCCCACAGGGTGGAGACAAAACTGTATTAACTATGATGCTTTGTAATTAGTACGTACTCAACTAGTATTAAACCTTTGTGCACATGAACAATTCAATCCTTAAGATTTTACTTGAACTTCATATTAAAATAATAAGACTTTGCCAGGGATTTAGCTCAGTTGTGCTTCCGCCTGCCTTGCAAGCACGAAGTCCTGAGTTCAGTTCTCAGTAAAATACAAACAAAAAACTTTATGCTATAGAAAATGAGCAAATTCATTGATTTTGATTTATATTTTCTTTCTTTCTTTTTGGTAGTGGGGATCAAACTCGGGACCTTGCACTTGTGAGGAAGGCGGCAGCATCACTGAGCTAAATCCCCAGCTGATTTTTATTTTCTGTTTTTAATGTTGTTACTATTGCCTTTAGGCTCACACATACATATCTGGGACATGAAATGACGGTGGGATGACATAAAGGGTATAACCTTGAAGAAGCATGGTGCTGAGAAGGGAACACTGTAGGGCCTCAGTTCACTGGCTTAACGACCTTCTGTAGCTTGTATAAGTACAAAGGAGGCTGAAATAATGCTATTATTCAACTTGGTAAAGCATTAGACAGCCTTTTATTTTTTCATTTTAATTGAGTTTATTGGTACATTTTAGGTATACAGTACAGTTACATTCATCATTGGAATCTTGTACCTTTACATGACAGGGCTTGGTTCTCATTTTTTCCCCTTATTCCTGCCCTCCCTTCACCCCCTCCTCCCTTCCCTGTTTACAAACACTTTATTTCCATTTTTTCATATTTTTTTTCTTTTCCCTTATTCCCTTTGCCCTACCCTTCCCACTTTCCCCACACCTTTAGTAGACAGCCTTTTAAAATTGAAGATGATTGGATGACAATATAAAGTAGTAGCTAAGAAAAAAAAATCACTTTTGAGTCTAGCTCACTAATTCAAATCTTTAAATTTTTAGACTTAATCCATTTATGCCTAAGACTGAAATTTTTAGAATTTTTGCATAAAAATCATGTTACCTACAAAAATTCAAAGAAGGATTTGAAGAGAACATTTCACTATATTCTTTGTTGTTATAGGAATTCCAAAAATGGGTCACTAGATATTGAAGGGTTAATAGTTCAGTTTTCCACATGTACACATATGTGCATTATTTTAATCTTAACAGAGATAACATTTAGTTTCTAGAACCAATCCTAAATTTGCACTTAACACTTGTATCATATTTCACTGTTTCTGAAACAAATTTATTGGGTATGTAAATTGTTTCCAGGTTTTGCTGTAAAGATAAATTTAAAATGAATATCTTTGTAATACTTTTTTAGTCTTCTCCATTTCTTAGGATGAACTCTCAAAAACAGAATTAATATTCGTGACTTGAAATATATTACCATAATAATTTCTGAAAGATATGAGAGTACTGATGCTTCCACTGATGTGACTACACCAATAACAGATTTGTTTTTGATACTGGGGAGATGTTTTCATTAATTTTTTAAAAAAAGATTCTTTAATTTAGAAGGTATACATATAGTTTATTTTCTATTACTAGGAAAAGTGATCACTTCCTCAAAGGTTTTGCCTTTGAAATTTGTCTTTTTTCTTTGATCTTATACTTTATTATTTCGTTACATTTGAACGAATTCTGTACATTACATATTAATGACTATAATTTTTTGTTTTTGGTACCAGGGATAGAACTTGGGTCCCTGCACTTACAAGGCAGGTGGCAGAACCACTGAGCTAAATCCCCGGCCCTAATGACTACTGCATTTGTTGCCAATATTTTATTCCAATCTCTTAAGATTTAATTTATGCTACTTTTCATAAAATAAACCATTTTATATCCTTTAAAAAGAGTTGTCGTCTTATGGCATACTAATTTTTATTGACTGATTCTCACTACATTGTTCAGGCTGGCCTTGAACTATGTAGTCCTGGTCTTGCACTAGTAGCAATCCTACCCCCGCCTCCCAAGTGCTGAGATTACAGGTGAGTGCCACCATGCCCGGCTGTTGTTTTATTTTTAAATTGATAATATTCTGACTTATTTATGTGATAGTGATAATTCAGTACATGTATACAAAGTGTAATGATCAAAATCAGAGTAATTAGCAGTTCCACTTCCAATATTATTGTTTCCATGTGGTGGTCTATAGCGTAACTCCAGTGTTTCTTTGCTTTTTCTATTTGGATGATCTGTCCACTGATGAAAATGGGTTTTGAAATCACCAACTACTCTATTAGTATAGTCCATATTATATTTTTTTCTCCCTTTCGAATTAAAAATGTTTGCTTTATATAACTAGGTGCATTGAATATATATATATGTTTTTTATTCTTTTTTTGGTACCGGGGATCGAACTTGGGTCCTTGCTCTTGCAAGGCAGACCACTGAACTGCTGAGCTAAATCCCGGCCCTATATATATGTTTTTAACTGTTATTTCCTTTTGTTGAATTGATTTATCATATAGTGACTATTTTTGTCTCTTTTTATGCTTTTTAACTTAAAGTCTTTTATGTGACATATATATAGCTCTTCCTGCTCACTTTTTTCCCATTTGTGTGGAATACTTTTTCCTAATCATTTAGTCTATGTGGTAGTCTTACTGGTAAAATTTCTTTTAGGTAGCATATAGTTGGATTATTTTTATCCATTCAGCCACTCTATCTTTGACTGAGAGTAATATTCCAGGTTATTATTAATAAAAGTTTACTCCTCCTGCCATTTTGCTAAATGATTTGATTGTTCTTTATACTCTTTGTTCCTTTTCATTTCTCATTACTTTTGTGATCTGGTGATTTCTTGTAGCATAGGGTTTAATTCCTTTTTCTTTCATGTACGTATCTTCTTTACCAGTGAGCTTTTAAGCTTTTTAGATGTTGTACTCCTTTACACACGTCTTAGAGAGGCTGTGTAGTGATGATGAATTTCCTGGGTATTTTTTTTTTTTTTAATCTTAGAACATTATTATTTATCCCTTAAAAGATAGGTTTGCTCAGTATGCTATTTTTGGTTGACAGGTATTTTTTCTATTGAATGTATCATTCTGATCTCTTCTATAAGATTAATTCTCTGTTTATAAGGTTTCTGCAAAGAAATCTGTTGTTCTAATAAGGTTTCCTTAAATGTGACTTGGTAATATTTTTTCATTTAATGCTATCACCTAATTCTTAGAGCCTTCTCTTCATTCTTTTTTCCTTTTTTTTTTGTTTAACTACAATATTTCAAAGAAACTTCTTAAGTTAAAAAATTATTTCTTTTGTTTCATCTAGAGTGTTGGTAAAGTACTCGACTGTGTTTTTTATTTGACCTAGTGAGATCTTCAATTTGTGATCTTCATCTCTTCGCTGAATTTCTTACTCATAGCAATAGCCATTTTCTTATTTTCACTGGATTGTCTGCAGGTATTCTCTTGTATTTCATTAAATTTACTTCGGATCATTTGAGGCAATTCATCAATATTCTTTTCTTTGAGGTCTTTTGTGTTCCTTTGGAGGTATCATATTAACTTTTTTTTAAAAAAAAACTCAAGTGTTTTTACATTGCTTTTTCTGTATCTGGCAGATGAGTTGATTCTACACTTTATAGTTTTCATGGAAAGCTTTCTCCAGATACACTTGTTCTTGTTGTAGTGGTAGTGGAGTTTTGTTTGTTTTTATTTTTGGTACTGGAGACTGAACCTTGGGATTTCACACTGAGCTGTATTCCCAGCTATTTGTATGTTTTTAAATTTTGAAACAGGGTCTTAAGTCATTCAGTTGCCCAGAGAGGGCTCACTCAAACTGCTGATCCTCCTGCTTCAGAATCCCAAACTACTGAGAATGCAGGCATGTGCCACCACTCCTGGCTTGGTCTGGTATTTTCACACAGTCTTGTTATGTATTACAGGCTGGCTTTGAACTTGATGATCTTCCTGCTCAGACTCTTTGTGGTGTAATTTCAAATGTGAGTACCACACCCAGCTCTCCAGATGTATTTTAGGGTACTGGTTTGGGAGGCTAAATTGGCTTTGGTTCCAATTGAGACTAGATGATATCTAGTCTCCCTCTAACTATTTCAGATGTAATCAATGGCTTTGTGTGTGTGCATGCAGCAGTGAAGCTGGAAAGCCTATATATGAGGGCTACGTAGAGGTAGAAGCATTCTAGTGGCCTAGGCAGTGTGATTCACAAAGTAGCAGATCTGTGGCTACATTATGTGGCCACTGGCAATGGAAGTGGTGGCATCAGGAACCCAGAATAGAGTAAAATCCCTCAGGCATATGCTCTGCTGTTGGCAAGGGCATCCAGTAATGACAGCTGCAGTGGTGCCGGGACATTAAGTGTACTCTCTTAGCAAAGGCAGGGTGGGGCACATGGCTGAGGCCCAGTAGTGGCCATTGGGGCTGAACCACATGTCCTTTATCATGCAGGGCACTGTGCAGCCCTGGGTATTGCAGCCACAGTAGAACCTGAGTCTTCTTAGGTTTGTGAAACTGTAGACCCCTGTCATAGTGTGGCAGAATATCAGTGGGACCCTGGGGCATGAGATACATAGAGGCTCTGTCTCCTAGGGAAGTATGAATTCTGACTGTGACTCTGTTCTCAGGATGGTGCCAAGCTGCAGCAGTCTAGGTTCTTGAAATGCAGTTATCTACTTTGAAATGCAGTTATCTACCTGTTGCTTTGATTGTCTTTATAGAGTAGGAGGTAAGAGCTAGGCATCTCTGTTCCACTATTTGAGAATCTTCTTAAAATTTAAATAGCTATGTTTGGCTATTTCTTTGTTTTCTATTTGGGTTTACAAACCTTGCCTTTGAACCACTGATGGCAGACGCTAGAAACCAACGGGAATGGTAGGTTCCAGCACATTGTTTTCTTTGCTATTCTTTGGTTACGTTTTTAGATGCTATTGCTATTTGGCCTAAATATTAGTGAAGAAAATTAACCATACATTCAAATAAAAGATAAAGAAGTCAATATAGGTAAAGCAAATAGCGGTCTCAGGCATTTGAGACTCTTACCAGTACTCTTTGATTACGCAAAGGTGTTGCACTGAAAAAATCATCATGGTCATCTTTTGGCATCTGTTCCAGAAAATCCCTCATTTGTTGCTTCCTTTTAAGTGTTCCCACTTTGGCAGTTATCTGAATGGTCTTCGTCGTATTAGCACTGTCTGTGTCACCTTAAGAGTCAATAAAATATTTTGATAAAGATTTGGTCATTTACAATAATGGCTTTATAAACTTCATAACCTCTGTTGTTTTAAAGTTTCCTGTATTTTAAGTGATTTCATACTGTTATCTTTGAAGTGCATTTAGCCCACATGACAATCATGAAGAACTATGGAAGATCAGGCAGGTTGAGAATGCAGCTGTCATTACGCTATGAGAAGGGTGAAATCCTAATGTTCTCATTACTGCGTGCCTATTTATTTTGCTAAAGTATAAACCTTAGGGAACTATGCTAGGCTAAGTATTCTCTAAAGCTTATTCTAGGAATTTTCTGGCAGGAAACATCTTTTTCTAGGAACTACCAACAGGATGTGCAATCTTGGGACTATGAAAACTAAATTTACTCTCAAGTTCTTTATGAATTACTAGGGGCTCTTAATCAAGTAGCTGCAAATTAAGTTAGACCCTCAGAGAAATAATTCACAAATTGAAATCTCTGAATCCAGTTTCAGATTTTCTAGAAAAAATTTGAAGCACAAGAGTACTAAACTACCATTGATGGAAGTAGATACCTAGGTTAAGACTTAAAAATTAAACATGATCTGTGAAGTTCTTTTGAGCTTTAACATTTTAAGAAAACACCTACAACAACATTCATGGACAAATATAAAATATACTTGGTAAGTGACTAGAAATCTGTGGGCGTACTGAGAAAAAATTACTACAAAGGTTACCATATTGACCTTTGGGATTGGCTTGCTTTCTTTTGGTGGTATTTTTCTGAGACTGTTTTCCTCGAGGATCTTCCATGTATTTCTTCTGGCATTCTTTAGCAGTTCGAGAACCTACCACCAGAGCAACATCTGACCAGAAGCCAGGTTTGTGCTTTGGAAGAGATGCAAAAGCACTACAGAAGACCAAAAGCAGTTAAGGAACAAGAAATTGAAATCAAAGTAAATTCCTAAAGGCATATTACTGAGCTAATGAGATTTACTAGGCTGAAGTAATTTTACCAAAATTATTCTAGATCATTATTTGGGAAAAAGGACTATTCCTGTCACTAAGTAATTTACTCTAGTGCTTTAAATACAAAGATGTAATTTCATGTATTGAGAGATGCCTTCTAGCTCTTTTGTTGTATAATATTAAACCCGAGAAAGTTTCCCATTATTTTTTTTTTTTTTTTTTTTTTTTTTGACATAAGGTTTATGTAGCATAGGCTGGCCTCGAACTCTTGATCCCAGCTGCTGGGATTACAGGGATGTGCCACCATGCCCAACATTCACCATATTTTTTTTAGTCCAACTGTTCAGTGAGTTGATATTTTGGGGAACTCTGGCATGACTATCTTTTATACAGTGTTTTTCAAATCTTACTGGTGCTAAGTGTGCCAGGAGAGAAATTCCTAGTTCCTAAGTATTCAAGGTTATAAACTCTTTATCAGAAAGTTTTATGCTTGGGAGGGATAGGGAAATAAGGGGGTCTGGATATGATCAATGCATGATGTAGGAATGTATAGAGATCTCACAGTAAATCCCATTAATTTAATAATTAATGTGTTAACAATAAAAAGCTCTAAGTTGAACATCCCTATCTGAAAAAAGTTTTATGCTTCTTTTTTAGTATGTGCTGCTGAATTGAGCACACGCTTGCTTTCCTGTACTCTTAATTTGTACACCGCAATATATTATTTTATGTTTTTTTTTTTTTTTTTAGATAGGGTCTTAGTATGTAGTTTAGGATGGCCTTGAACTTACTTTGTAGCCCAGGCTGGCCTCAAACTTGGGGCCATTCTCCTGCCTCAGCCACCTGAATGCTGGGATTACAAGCATGTGCCACAATGAGTAACCTCAGTATTTTAGAAAAAATGTTCCCAATTGAAAATAAATGAAATAAAAAATATTATTAAAAATATATATTATTAAACATAATATAGTTCCCAATTCAACATATGAATTACTTTCTTTCTTTCTTTTTTTTTTGGTACCTGAGATTGAACTTGGGTTTGTGCTCTTGAGAGGTAGGTGGCGGAACCACTAAGCTAAATCCCCAGCCCCATATGAATTACTTTCTAAAAATAATTGATTGTAAATGATTGTTCACAACCTGGTATACAAGCATACTATCCCCACCTTCAATTAAAAAAAAAAATCATTGGCTGACAAGTTCAGCCGGAAAATATGTATTTAAATCACCATTTAGCCTTAAAATGATACTTATCCAAAATGCTTCAAGCCGGGGATTTAGCTCAGTGGTTTGGTGGCCTGCCTTGCAAGCGCAAGGTCCCGAGTTCAATCCCCGGTACCAAAACAAAACAAAAAATAAACAAACAACAACAAAAAAACCCCAAAATGCTTCAAGCCAGAAATGTTTGAAGACTATTTGTATATATATAATGACAGATTTGGGGGATGGGACCCATACCTGGACACCAAATATATTTGTTTCATGCATATCTAGTACTCTAGACCAAAAGTTTGTTTTGCCATACTAGTGAATGAACTTGACCACATACATGTGAAGCAAGCATTCTACCACTAAGCATCATCTTCTCACTAAAGGTAATTTTTTACACAGTATTTTTAGTATGCCTGTGTTTTGACTGTGACCCATCACAAGAGGTTGGTGGTGGAATTTTCCACCTTTGGCATTTGTGAGCACTCAAAAAGTTTTGGTTTCCGGAGCATTTCTGATTTTCAGATTAGAGATGTTCAGTCTGCACTAAAGTGTTACTTCAACTATGCCTTTGGTTTACTGTTTCTTTGACAGAACATACAGTAGTCTTCCACATTCATAGTTCTATATCCACAGATTCAATGAAAACATTCAGAGAAAAAAATACATCTATAATGAACACATACAAACTTTTTTCTTGTTAGCATTTTCTAAACAATACACTATAGCTACTTATGTATTATTTACATTATATTCAATATTGTAAGTAGAGATGATTTAAAATATATAGGAGGATTGTGTAGGTTATACACAAATATCACACAATTGTATACAAAGGACTTAAAACACCTACAGATTTTGGTATCCACAGTTGGTCCTGGAATTAATCTATACATGTGGAGAGCTGAATGTATTTTTATTTCAATTTAGATTCCAGTCTGGGGGCATAAGCACCACACAGTAGTATGCTGGCAAATTTTTAATCAATTTTGAGGTTAAAAAGCTCAGTATATAGTGTCTGCCAATTTCCATATGGTAAATATTCCTACTGTGGTTGATTTCAAACTATGATGACAGCACTGAAAGAAATGTGTGCTGGCAACCTACTATTATATACTGTTTTTACCAAACCTAGATGTAGAACCAAACCTCAAGGAAGTGATCAGTTTTGATTATTGGTTTTGTTTTTAATATTTCACTGCAAGTTAACATAATTAAATTTTAATGTCTGTTTAACAACTGATCTATAACATTTCTCAAAATTTAACAGTTAACTCTTGTATTTGTTTTTTTTTTTTTTGAGACAGGGTCTCACTATGTATTGAAACTGACCTGGAACTCTCTATGTAGCCCAGGCTGGTCTCGAACTCAGTGATCCTCCAGCCTCAGCCTCCGGAGTGCTGGGATTACAGGCATGTGCCAGCACACCCAGCTGTACAGCATTTTTTGTTTGTTTTTTTTGTTGTTGTTGTTTTTTTGCAGTTAGCTCTTGTGAACAGCTACCAGTTGACTATAGCATGACTTCCATATATGAAAGGAAAACAAACACTTTATAGGCATTAAACATTTGTTACTGAATGCTCTTTTGTATAATTAATCACTTTGTAAATTTTCCAACATGGAGAATTAGAATGATTTGGGGAATCAAGCTTCTCAATTTGTGTATACAACTGATTTCTAAGTCTAGGACTGTCTAAAGGGTTATTTTTAATAATAGAAATATTAAATACATTTAATAATAAATGGTCAATAACTAACAAATGCCCTGTAGGTTATCCCAGATAATTAAAAAAATATATAAACATGCAACTCCAGTCCTATTTAAAACTTCATCATACTTGTTGGGCACAGTGGCATATATCTATAATCCTAGCACTCTAGAGACTGAGGCAGAGGATCACCACGAGTTCCAGGACAGCCTGCACTACACAGTGAGACCCTGTCTCAAAAACAAAACAAAACAAGGCAAAACAAAACTTCATTATTTTTAGCATAAAAACCAAAATCTTTACTGTGATCTGTATTATTTCTTGACACACTAATTTCATCTTATATTGCTCTTTCCTCAACTATTAGTATTCTAGTTGTTTTAGCCTTCTTTTAGTATTTCTAAATATGCCTCTCTCTTTCTACATGTATATATGCTTTTCTAACTAAAATCCATGTACTTTCAAACTCTGGGTTAAATATTTCTTACGTATCCTCTGGATATTAGTTCTAGAATCCATCTGAGCTAGCTCATTGTGCCTTGATATGGATCAAACTCAGGACCTTGTGCTTGCGAGGCAGGGCATAGCACCACTGAGCTAAACCACTGGCCCAACCCCGAACTTTTCTACTCCCTGTCTTTGCCGTATTTGTTGGTTACCCACCTAGATTTTCCTTACATCTTTCTTTACCCTCTCTTACCCATTAACACTTCATCACTCAATTATGATCTGGTTCCCATAATACTACACTACTGAAACTGCTTGTCAAGTCTATGTACCTAAATCTAATTCTAATCACACTTCATTTGTTGAAGTAATACACAAGAATTCTCACTTTTGAAAAAAAAAAACTATTAGTATCACTACAGTGATAATCCCTAGAAGTCATCCAATCAGCTCCTTACTGCTTTTTTTATATAAACTGCTTTGTAATCACTGTGTCCATATTCCAGAGTCAAGTCTAGCTACTTACCAATGCAGTTTCTGCAATTCTTTCTCATTCCACTCCTCACCCTGATTTATGCCAGGTAAACAGTCTAAGGAATGCTTGTTAGTTCTGTCAGGTCCCATTGCCTCAACTGAAAACTCATTCCTAGCACCACATTTCAGAAGAGTTTCTTTAGCAGAATACCTAGGTTTCTTTTGTTTGACATGATACTTCATGTTACTTTCCTCAGTTTCAGATTCTGAAGTCACTATGATATGCCTTGTGGTGTTTTTTTTGTTTTTACTCAGGTGAGCAACTGTTTCTTTGGTATTTCTTGTCCTGATTTTAACTCCAGCTTTCTTTCTAATTTGTTTTTCGGTTTCACTCTCTTCACTTGACAAATCTGATGAGGACTGATGATTATAAAATGATACAGTTACTTGATTTTCAATTTTCTTCGATTTTGATGGCAACCTGATATTTTTCTTAAAGCCTCGAATGCCCATGTGTTCATTTTTAGGGCTAGGCGTTTTTACTTTCTGATTGATGGTGAGTAAATCCCGTTCATTGCAATCTTCCATGTTTTTACTTTTATGATCCACACTGTACTCAGATGTATTTTCTAAAGTCTCTATAGACTTATTGTTGGGACTTCCATTTAAGTCTGGCTCACTTTTTTCTTGATTCTTTGGCACTGAAAAACCTGTCATTGCTTCCCTGGTGTCATAGAACAGATTATGCTTCTTGCATCTTTGCTCTATCACCTTCTTAGTTTTAAGTGGTGTCACTAAAATACAAGCTTCTTTATGATGGATAGTCATGCATTTTCTTTTTTCAGCTGAAAAAAACCGTTCCCGTGACGTCAAAATATCAGTAGATACATCTGATTCTTCATTTCTCTCTTTAACTTCATAAGACAAAACCAAAAACCAAAACCTCAAATTAGCCACAAACATATTTCAGTGTAATATAAAACATCCTCCACCTGGTCCTCAATCTGTTTCCACTCTCTCCCTGTCCTCAACTGTGAACTATATTCTAGGTTTATTAGACTGCTTACTGCTTCTCAAATTTGCTTTGATAATGTTCATTAATGCTTATTCTATTTGAAAATGTCCCTTATCAACAAACCAGATCACTATATGCTTTAATTTTATTCTCTAACCTAACTTAGACCACAAACTTTATCTTGATTTCCCTCAAATGAATGAAAGCTGTTTCCCTTAGGTTTCCAGAGTATTTGTGTCCTCTCTTACCACTGCACAGCAGTCATATCTTTTAATTAGACTGGAAAAATATTATTAATGGTTATAACTTTATTTCCATATTTAGATATTTTGGCCAATGTTAATAAGATGAAATTTGTTAAATCAACTCTCTGGAGGTCAGATATTTAGGAGACATTAAGAAAAACAGGTCACTAAAACCTAACTAGGGCCAGGGATTTAGCTCAGTGGTTCTGCCACCTGACGCGCAAGCACAAGGACCTGAGTTCGATCCCTGGTACCTAAAACAAAACAACAAAAAAACACCTTACTAGGCACATGTACTGTATATGAAATAGAAGCTGTGCTAGATAAGAGTGGAACAACCAAAATGGAACAACCCAAGAAGCTTTGTCATATCATGTCTCTAAGGAAAGCAAATTAAAATAAATGTAGTTTTCTAATTTGAAACAAGATACCAGAAGCTAAACTAAAATTCTAACTTTAAACAATCCAAATGTAATTATAAATACATATAAAGTATCTCACCAATCATCATAATGAAATATGGCAACAGCCTACATATACTATATGCCATTGTTTACAAGATTAACAACACATTGCAAGACTAATGGATAATAGTGAATGCTGAAGAAAAAAACCCTCAAATTATAATTTAAGAGAAGTGGTACTAATCAAGAATAATGTAAAAAATTTCTACAAGCTTTATTTATAGCCATCATACATCTTTAATTTTTTTTTTTTTTGTACCAGGGATTGAACTCAGGTCCTTGTGCTTGTGAGGCAGGCAGTGGAACCACTGAGCTAAATCCCCAGATCTGTTTTTTGTTTTTTTGAGACAAGATCTTGCTATGTAGCTCAGGTAAGTCTGGAACTCACCACCTATCCCAAGCTGGTGTCCAACTCAGAGATTCTCCTTCCTTAGCCTCCCAAATGCTGGGATTATAGACATGTCCTACCAACCTGGTTTAAATCTTTAAATTATGAGGAAAGTGTTTTCTTCTAACTCTTCATTAAATCCAATGAGTGTTCAATTAGAAATTTGACATTTTTGAACATTCTGATTTTGAACAAAACGCTGCTATTCAATTTTTAAAATCACTCCCCATTCTAGATACTTTAACCTAATTTGTGTGAATTTGTAGTCTAAGAAATATTGCTTGCCTCTTTTCTTCTTTGAATGCTTATAAATGTTTTTAATTTTCACTTCAGTTAGTGAATAACAGAAAAATACTATTAGACTGGTGGATTTTACTCAACATCAAATCTTGTGCTTGCTATTATTTGCAGAAAAGGCTCTGTAAATTTTGGTACATAGGACTTTAAAAGACACACACACAAAATTATGGTATTAATTTTATAATAGGAATCAGGCTTTAAACATTCTTGTAAATACATTTTAAATGATGTATAATTTTATGTTCTAAATAAAATTATTTAGTACCCAAATTAAAAAATAATGTGGCATTCAAAGAAATACGTTATTTCACTATGCAAAAATCACTTTATGTCAAAGTAACAAAAGCAAACATTTGAAAACATTAAAACCATTTACCATTTCAGAGAAGAAAATTTATAGGATCATTTTTATTACTAAAAACATTTTTAATAGTAGCTTCCTACTTACTGCAAAACCATTAAAGATACATTACCTTGTTTTTGACTTTTAGTGATTCTTTCATTTATTCCTTCACTATTTTTGAGTTTGTTTGAAGACAATTGTTTATACTCTCTTTTGACAATTAATTCCTTCAGAACAAAAGGAAAGGAACTTGCCTTTAACAACCACTTCTTAAACATGATCTCCAACATTTTTATAGCATGCATCAAGCATACAAACTTGTAGATGCTTCTAAATTCTATTAGTATGGCCATTAAAATTTGCTCTGCCTGACCTGTAGAAGTACATTCTGGGCATCCATGATCCTGCATAATTTCTTTACTTTTAAGTGCTTTTTATATACTTTATTTCATTTAAGCTTTACTTTAAAAGCTAGAAGTTTTGTTATTTTTGCAGCTACTTTTTCAATGAAAGACTTGGAAAATAAGTATCAAGACATTTACTTATAGTTTCAAAGTTGATGAAAGGCTATGAAAATTACAGGAAAATTACAATGAAAACAATGAATGAGCATTTCAAAATGGTGTCAGAAGGCTTTCCAGGGTGGACTTATACAGTCTTCCAGCTACTGCCCAGGAATGTGAAGTTTGGCTATCTTCTGACTGGGCTGCTATAACTGATGATTACATTGTACACATATTATGGCATTTTTACTAAGGATATACCTTGTTTTCTTTATCTTCTTCTGGTCACATAGCTCCTGTCAAAAGCATCTGTTCTCCAACAGCAGCTACCTCACAAAAGAATTTTCAATGGGCTGTAGTAAATCAACAACTATTGCTCAATATAAGCTCTCATTTTCCCAGCCTTCTCTGGAACACTGATTCAGAGGTATCTGAATCTGCTTCCTGAATTGTAATTTCTAAGGGTCTAAAAATCCCTTTTTTTGCAGTTTCTAAATTTGGACTGATTGATACAACTATTACTTATCAAACAAGACATGTGTCTTATGACTTGGTCCTGAACCCTTTCAACCTTTCAAGTATCACACCATTCTTGTAAACATCAAACAACATATAGTAAGTAATTCCTTACCTGATTAGGTAAGTTATCGCCGCCTACATTGTCAATAGTTTTATTTACTTGGTCATGAGGGAGAATCATTGATGGTTTACTTTGATAATTACTATTGCCAGTGTTTACTTTTGTAGCTCCTGGCAACCTTCTCTGGTTATTATTTTTCAATTCTGTGAGTACAAAGATGGAGAATTCAGTAAGTGATGACCTAAAAGGTAAATTGCCTTTATACAGTAAAGAGCTAACTTTGCAAAAAATCGGTCTAATCCAGTATCACATTCATATTAACTTTATTATGATGAAAAGCAGTTTCATTTGACAGAATCACTCTATAGGGTTTTGTGTGATATTTAAGATACTTGATGTCCCACAGCTTTAAACAAAGATCTAATAAATTATACTATCTGTCCCTAAACTGAGCTTCCTGAAGGAAGGTATCTGTCTTATTTGTCCCAAGTTCCTAACAGTTAACATGGACCAAGATCTTTAGAAGTTGGTTTATTTTTTAAATCTGTGATGCATAATGACTACTTTCATTGTGGGTATTTGGTACATGTACATCACACATCTTGATTCTTTTTTTATATCCTTTACCTTCTTTCTTCTCCCCTCCTTTCATTTCCTGGTCCCCTTCCCATGTACCGTAGATCTATCTCCCTGTTTTATCTGTCTTTTATTTTGTTCCTTTTTATTTATATTTGACTAATCATATAAGAGAAACCAAACAGTATTTAAGCTTGTGATTTCACTTAACATTATGTTTTCATTTTCCTACAAATGATTCAAATTATCTTTTATAGTACCTTTATCAGTTCATCAGTTGATAAACATATAGGCTGCCTTCAAGATTTAGCTATTATGAGTTGTGTTACTAGAAACATAGATATGCATGTATCACTGTACTATGGCATTTTTAAACTCTTCCAGGAAGATACCTAGAAGGGGAATAGCTGGGTTGAATGGAATTCTATTTTTAGTTTTTTGAGGAATTCACACCATTATGAAATCTGTATAGAGAAGTGTCGGGAGCATTTCTACATAATTTTTTGGAAAAATCATGATTAGGGTCTAGTTTTCCTGTCTACAGGCCAGCTACCAGCACGTTGAGACATAACTCCATCTTCCCCTCAGGTCACAGCTAAGACTTTAAGGGTTGGAGATGCTGTGATGCTCTACAGCAGGACTACATCAGCTGGAGACACCCTGGGAGGAACCAAATCTTCATCTGCATAGGTCCTCACTGTTCTAAGATTTGTGCTGCCCCCTGATCCTCCATTAAATGTTTCTCCCAATGTACTGAACCCTGTCCAGAGACATCTGTTACATTTGTCTCTCCCAGTGTACTGAATAAAGGTGTGGTGAGCTCTGGGGCTTCTGTCTTTGCCGCCCAGAACAACACTCATCAGGCCCAAAGCTCAGCTTCTTCTCAAAGTTTCATTTTTCCTATCTTTCCTGTAAAATAAGCTAATTCGCCTTATGCTGTCGTGGCTCACAGGAGGTTCTAGTAACATCCCCTTTCCCTGTTCCCTACAGAGAAGTTTTAAAATAGAGTAATTACCTATTACATTTACAAATTCAGCTCAAATTCCTAAGTGCTGCTGGGGGTGGATAAGGTCTAAAAACAAGATTAACAAAAAAATAAGTAGATTCACTGCTAAGAATTTTTTAATTTAGAAGTAAAATAGCATTTAGAAGTCAACAAAACACTCAAATGGTCTAGCAATGACAAAAAGCAGTATACCTTATTTAGGGGAAATTGGTGACTTTTTTTTTTTTTAAACTAGGAATTGAACCCAAGGACTTTGCATTGAGCTGTATCCCCAGCCTCTCTCCTTTAAAAATATTTTAAGATGGTGTTTGCTAAGTCACCGAGGTACTCAGGCCAGGCTTGAACTTACACAACCTTCCTACCTATTGCTCCCAGAGTTCTGGGATCACAAGCCTATACCACTATGTTCAGCTAGGTAACTTCTGATAACTAAGGTGTTAGTGACTTCTTGCTAGCTCTGGGCAAGCTGCCATCTACATGTTAAATTATCCATTTCTTTGTAGTAGAAAGAATAAGCAAAGTTTCACGGAAGTGAGTTCTGTAAGAGGCAGGAAGGGAGTGGTTAGAATGAGGAACAGGTACATTTATATCCAATGTGATGCCGTGTGAGTGTGTGTGTGTGTCTGGGTACTGAACCCAGGTCCTGTGTTAGGCAAGTGTTCCACCACTAGGCTGCATCCCCAGCCCATTTTTATTTTTTATTTTGAGACAAGGTTTTGCTAAGTTGCAAAATTGTCCAGGTTGGGCTTCAACCTGCTGCCTCAGCCTCCCAGAGTCCTGGGATTACAGGTGTGTACCACCACACTTGGCTCTCCAGCCCTTCTTAAATTTTATTTTGAAACAGGGTCTCACTAAATTGATGAGGCTGGTGGACTTGAACTGGAATCCTCCTGCCTTTGCCCCTTGAGTAGTTGACATTACAGGCACATGCCATTATACCCAATTTGGTACTGTTTTTTTTTTTTTTTTTTTTTTTTTTTTTTTTTTTTTTTTTTTTTTTTTTTTTTTTTTTTTTTTTTTTTTTTTGTTTTGTTTTGTTTTTGTACTGGGGATCGAACTCAGGTCCTTGTGCTTGCGAGGCAGTTGCCAGAACCACTGAGCTAAATCCCCGGCCCCAGTTTGGGACTGTTTTTGGCAGAAGCAGTCATGAACTTGTTTTATAATTAAGACTTTTTGCACGAGTTTTACAGCTTGTAGTTTACAAGGGCAAGGTAAAATTTAAAGATTTATATAACCAGTTTTAGTAACTTTTACTCATCCATACTATTTAGAAATGGCTGTAATGTTTATACATCTTAGGGATGGGAGTGGCATGTCAGGCAGACTAGTGTTGGCAAAGAAGTGACAGAGAACAATTCTGCCAGCTCCCTTTACAGAAATGGCCATTCAGTAAAATGTGCCATTTCCACCTTGAAAGCAAGCTTCTTCCTATTAGGAGATATAAAATTTAGTATAATTTGTAGGTTTTTACTACAGGTTTGGGGTAAATTAGCAGCCTAAACACCTTGGGTCTAGGAAACTAAACGAACAGAACAATTATCTTTCATTAACATGTTTATCATTGTATCAATGTTCTTTTATATTTTAATTAATTAAAAGTTTTATTTAATGAAATTAGCTGAACGATGACCATGACCTGTCTGCAACACAGGTACTTCAGGAGTGAAAAAAGTAGGACTTTTTTTTTGTGTGTGTGTGGCATTGGAGAGTGAACCCAGGGCTTTTGTACATAGCTACATCCTTAACCCTTTCTTATTTTTATTTTGAGACAAGGTCTTGTCAAGTCACTACGTTCCCCAGGTTGGGCTTGAGCTTATGATCCACTTGCCTCAGACTTTCAGAGTGTAGGAATTATAGGTATGTGCCACCTATCTTAAAAAAAAAAAAAAAAGTAGTTTTAGGGTAGTATAAACCAAAGAACACAATACCATATATACAATATATAAGGTAGAGCTTATGTAAGAATTTACCACCATGTCCTAAGAAAAACTAAGGCCAAACATACCAGTGTTATCATTATCATGGTCAAAAGTGGTACTGGTCTTTTGAAGATCATCTGTTTGGTTTTCTGAATCTTCTTTCATTGACTTTGACAAGCCAGGGACAGATCTTGCAGTTTTTTGTATTTTTCTGGTCATTTTCCTTTTCCTTTCCTCGACCCTAAAAACAAGTATATTATTTTTCCTCTGATAATGGTTTTCAGAAATACTCTTTTTCTCTAATATTGCCAAGAAAGTTATTTTTTCTTCCCAGGCAAGTGTTATATTCCTGCTCCCCTGCCTCTCCCAGGTACTGGGGATTGAACTCAGGACCTTGCGCTTGCTTGCATGGCATCACTGTGCTAAATCCCTGGCCAATGTTGTATTTTTAATACTTTGAGGCTTCCATCCCTCCTCTCCACAAAACTCAGGTACAACCTCCTACATGCTGCGGCTCTCTGGGGGGACCCCGTCCCGCGGGGAATAGGAGATGAGAGCCGCCTCTTATTCGTGGGTCATCAGAGGCCGATCCGATCTTGAATGTCTGTGGAGGAAATCTTTAAGAAGTTAGAGTACACGGCCCAAGTCTGGTTTCTGATCAAAGGCGCTTTATTGGCTCAGCAAAACGATTATATACTGTTATCCCAGGGGGAAGGTTCAGTAAGCTTATTGGACAGTTCAAGCAAATCCTCTACCAATCACATGAGTCACTCAAGCATTTAACCATAAAGGGACAAAGCATTTATCAGCATACAGCAATCAGTATTTTACCAAATGTGGGGAGGGGTAAGTGGGAAGGCGTACATCAACAATTAACCCTATGCAATCTTTAACTTCACAATCCCTAGGGGCAAGCAGGACAAGGAAATACCACCTGCTTCCTGCTCCAGATCCCGTGACCCTGTGGTTAGCACAAAGGGCTATTCTTTCTGTAAGATTTCCTGTTTGCCCAGGGGCTAGACCTGCCAAAAGTCACGTATGTAGTCTAGTGGGATTTTTCCACCGAGGCAAAGGCTAAGGTTGAGGGCATCCATTTTGTGCAGGCCCAAGCAGTCTCTCACAACATGCTTCCAACTCCATTCTCTAACAGATCCTATGTAACTGACATTGTAAGAAAACTATGGGGCAAATGCTGCCAGTTGCCAACTTCTGTAAATAAAGTTTACTGAAACACAACCACACTCGTCCATTTACATACTACTACTTAGAGCTGCTTTTTGCTACAAAAGCAGGAGTAAGTGGTTGTAATACAGGCAACATGTCCCCAAAAATACTACCTGGCCTTTTACAGAAAAAAAACTGCCAGTCCCCATTGTAAGTTATTTATAATGTGATTATCTTAAACTCCGTATGCCCTATTAGCTTCCAAAAGACAAGAATTAATCAAATTCTTTGTCTTCCCAGTACCAATCATAGTGTCTGCTAAGTAGCTGACAATGACTACTGAGAAAGAAAATAAGAGAAAGAAAAAAAAAAATAGAACTTCAGCCTAATTTTGACAGCCACAAGGCTCTTAACAAGTAAGTGACTAAAAAACTCCTTGAAATATGCCACAGGTTTTATTTTCCTTTTAGATTTACTCCACATGACAAAAATTCTAGTGAAGTGTTATCTACTAAGATCAAAGGTAACTTCAAAACTGGCACCCCCCCAAAAAAAACCTGAAAAACTAAAACACTGGTTTACACAAATATATATATTTGTAAAGGCTTATTACATTTTACGCCTGAAGTGGGTACTTTAAAAATTAATGTGAATTATACAATAAAGTTAATTTTTCAAAACTTAAAAGAATACTTTACCTTAATTGTTCTAGAAAATCAGCAATGTACTCTTTCCAATTTTTTGGAAATCCAAACATGAATTTTCTTGTGAGATAGTATGGATATCCTAGTAAACAATAAACCAAAAAATTATGTAAAAGCCGAGCTTTTTAAAGAGATATGATTAATCTATTAAATCAGCCAAGAAAAATATACATATATTTATTATTTACAGGCACTGTCAATAAATACTGAGGATTCAGCAGTTAACAAATCAAAGATCCCTGCCTATATAGAAAGCAAAGCAATACGCAAGAAATCTTATTTGCTAGGTGGTGTTGCAGAGAAGCTGGTAATGATGTTCAGGGGGAGAAGATAAATTTTAAAAAGGACAGTCAGGGGAGCTCTCTATGACATGAGCAGAGTACTGAAAAACCTGAGAAAATGTGGCGAGGTAGTGTCAAAGCATCAGAAGCAGAGGAAAATAAAAAGCCACAAAGCAAGAATATACCTGGCCTGTTTGTGCAACAATAAGATTAGCGTTGTTGCAGGGGCATGAGCTGTCAGGAGGCTTCTCAAATGGGCAAGAGAAGCAGTAGGTGACATGGCTTTGGGATCATTTTTATAGACCTGGCCATTGTTTTGGGGCAAGATGGAAAGCTATGGAAAGATTCCACACAGAAGAGCTACAAGATCTATGAATTTAATAGGACTGTATTAACCTCTATTTTGAGAAGAATATATGAAGTACAAATAGAGAAAGAATGAGACCAGTTAGGAGGCCATTATAACAATCCAGACAAAAGATGAGGAAGTCTGGACCACAGGGTACAACAGAGGGTTTTGGACATATTCTGGAGGTAATGCCAGTAGGATGTACTGAAATGCTGGATCTGGGTGTGACAGCAATTAAGGACGCAAAAATATCTCCAAGGACTTCAGCTAGCCATTAGAAGAATGGAAAAAAGTATGGGAGTATAGGCCAAACAGATTTAAGGGAAAAGATCAGGGTTTAACATTATAGATACTCAAGTGGAGATGTCAAATGAGCACATGGAAAATGAAGTGGATACTTAGAATAAGTCTTGGCTTGAAATATAAAATTGGCATTTGTTTTCATACAAATGATAATATATATGAAGAAAAAAGAAATAAGCACAGAACCACAGGTAAAAAGAGCCCTAAACTACTCCATTATTTAGAGGCAAAAAAAAAAGAGAAAGAAAAACACCAAGAAGTAAAAGACAGGCAGCGTGAAAATTGAAATATGGTAGTTCAAAAGCCAAATAAAGTATTACAGGAAGATAAGTGGAAAAACTCTATTAATTGTTTAGTGGATTTAGCAGTGTTGAGGCCGCTGGTAAATAAAGTATTACAGGAAGATAAGTGGAAAAACTCTATTAATTGTTTAGTGGATTTAGCAGTGTTGAGGCCGCTGGTAACTTTGATAAAGGTTTTTGTGAGGAACTGGGGGATAAGAGAAATCAGGTATGAGTAAGATAAATATTTTGAGTTTTGCTGTACAGGAGAGCAGTGGCTGAAAGTATGGGTAACAAGTTTTTTCAAACAGTACAAAAAATTATTGGAGTGTTGTGCTTGAATAAAAAAGGGAAGACGGGAACCAGTATACAAATGGAGAGGCTGACACCAACAGGAATAGGGATAGTACATCCATAAAAAAAGCAGGTATGGATGCAACTAGAGGAGTAGATGTGATAGAAAAATTATTCTGATTGTTTCTACTGTTCAGGCATTGCCTTTTCATCTCTCCTCTTACCTGAGGAAAATATTAGGGAGGAGATTGTGGACATTTCCAAAAACCTGAAATAGTCATCAGGAAGGATGGGAGAGTGATGGATTAGGAAAGTATAGTAGGATTGTAAGCAGCACCAAGGATCACAAGGGACTATAACTTGTTGCTGGTAATTCTAAATTCAAAGTAGACTAAATTTAGTTACGCACAATGCATAGGTAGAAAATTAGATTATACCAAGATTGTATTCAACAAAGACAGGAACCAGGAAGTTAAACTATATATTTTTTTTTTTTTTTGGTACCAGGGATCGAACTTGGGTCCTTGTGCTTGCGAGGCAGGTGGTGGAACCACTGAGCTACATCCCTGGCCCATTAAATTATATTCTTATAAAGCATTTCCTTATATATAAAGAGTAATTCACTTGTTTTTATAATGACAAAACTTAAATTATAAATAATAATGACAGCAAAGAGATTAATACTTAAGTTTACATGTGATCAATAGTTTTAATTATTTAAAAATTTCTAATTAAAAAATCAAACACACATATGTATTTTCTACTACTAGAAACATTATTAAAAATATTAAAATATTAAAAATTATTAAAATAATTTATCAATAATGATACTCATTTACCTGCTTCTTTCATGGAAAGTTGGTCTATCAATCCTTTTAATATATAAATATTGCCTGATATAGTCCTAAGTTCATTGTGCTTAATCCGCTCTACAATTACGTTACTGTGCCAATATATGTGTGTCATGTCTCTGAGGGGGGGAAAAACAGCTTAGTGAAGGCCAAAATAGTCACATTTTACCTGGAGTCACAATGTACTTACATAAGTACAGTATAAACATTTATAATACAAAGTAGTAATCTTGCACTCTAGCTATAAGAGTGCGAACAACTGAGGCCCAACTGCTGCAGCAGACCTCAACTGGCTGGCACATGCTAATAATAAGTGCCCAGAAACTACACTGGATAAACTATACCCCTAATATAAAACATATCATGAGCATGGAAGCGGAAGCTTTCCCTAAATATTTGGTGCTCGTGGTGCTTGCAACTTCAGTTTAACTGAGGCTGAGCACATCTTCTGTGGCCCTCTCCCTCAGGCTGTATACTAGCCTGGCTTTTGTGCAGAAAGGTAGGTCTTGCTGTTCTGCCCAGGCTGGCATGGAGCTCTTAATCCTCCTCCTTCATCTCCAGATAGCTGGGACTACAGGCGCCTCCTTCCACGCTTGGCTTAGAAATGTAGATTAGATCCATCTAATCTTGGGATTTTTTTTTTTTTAAACCCTCAGTACATAGCCACATATTTTTACCTTCCATTAAAAAAAAAAAAAAAAGCAAGACAGGCTCAGAGGCTCAAGTTAAGGAAAAACAAACTATAGGAGCATATGACTGATTCTTAAATCTACTCTTTATATTTCTCTAAATGAAGCTAAGCATGGATATAAAAAAGAAAAAGATGTATTAGATAAGCATCATTCACTCATCAGGTAATAAACATACTATTATTTATAAACCTAGTAAACTAAATTCTTTTACTTTAGTCAAATAGGCTTAAATGCTAAACTCATTATATCGTAGTTTAACACAATATTTTCTTCCACTCTAATTTCACTGAACATTTAAATAATCTAAAAGCAATGTTCTCTAGTATTATGACAAAAAAGTCACTTAATTCTCAAAACTACCTACGTGGTAGGTAATATATTATTCTCATTGTACAGATAAAGAAAATGAGACTGAAAGAGAATAAGTGACTTGCCCAGATGATACTGGTAGTAAGTAGCAACAATGGGATTCCCACAGGGCAGTCTTCATTGCATCTTGGACAGTAAGAAAATGGGCACCAACTCAGATTTCATGTAGGTCCTCAACTTAAAAAATTTCCATGTAAGTACCTTATATTGTGATAGCTTGCATTGTTTTATTGCAAATTTGTTTTACCATTGAGAAAAACAGAAAATGGAGCTGACAGAGTAGATTTAGGCAAAGCACACCTTCTTGCAGATGCTCTCATTTTATAAATGGGAGAACCAGAATGTGTAAATTTTATTATGTGGCAAAATTTTCAATAATTTTGGTTCCTTTTCTGGATCAGTAATTTTTATCTAGTTGCTTCAATTCACATGCCCCCATTCAAATGTGAGAATGTGGACTAAAGCTCATAATAAATACCAACCAATCATATATAATCAAGTGGATAATACTAGTCTACACATTAGCACCTCAGAAAATACACAGCGCTATGCAAATTTGAGCTGTTACTACTTTAAAAAATAATTTGAGAAGACAGACAAAAACAAAAAAATTGGTAACAAAAATGGTAAGGACCTGCATAGTCCTTTTTTCTTTTCTTTTTTTGGTTTTCTGAGACAAGGTCTTGTTAGGTAGTTCTGGCTGGCCTCAAACTCAAAGCAATTCTCCTGCCTCAGCCACCCAAGTGTTGCTATTATAGGTGCACATCACCATGCCCAGCTTTTTGCTGTTGTTTTTTGAGACAAGGTCTCACTATGTAGTTCAGGTGGTCTTGAACTCACTATGTAGCCAGGCTGGCCTTGAATGCACAGTGATCTTCCTGCCTCAGCCTCTGGCATGCTGAGATTACTGGTTTGTTTCACTCCTGGCTCCTGCATAGTTCTTTTTACTTTCAGTTCATAATCTCATAAGGTAGTTGTTTTGTAGGAAGACATTGTTTCTCATGAATCACATTTTAAAATTTTACACACAACCGTCTTCTCAAATTTTATTACAAGAATATTTAAATGTTATACTTACGTCAGTTTTCCTTCTACACATATATCAGCGTTATCATTGATGATTTTAATCATCCATTCCTGTAGCTGGATTACCTAATTAAGTATAAAACAAAGAACACATTTCTTGTACTATTTGCAGCATACACATTACACAATTAAATTACAAGAAAAAAGTCATCTAATAATTCCTTAATGCCCATCTATAAAATCACAGGTTACTAAACAGCAACCGTTAAAGCTCTTGTATATAATGAAACAAAATATGAAGAAAAAGACTGAGCTGAGGTTGTACTACATAAATTGTCTTATAATCCAAAAGGAACTATATTTCAAAATTCTTATACCAAATATCTCAACAACAGAGCCAAGTATGGTGGCCCATGCCTGTAATCCCAGCACTGGGGAGGTTTAGACAGGAAGACAGCTCTGAGTTTGAGGCCAGCCTGGGCTACAAAGAAAGACTCTCAAAAAAACCCCTACCCCCCACCCCACAAAAAAAAACCCTCAACCGCATGGTGGGAGGGGTCACGTAAAAAAACAAATTTTGCAAAAGCTTCAATAACTTGGAGAAAAAGAGTTAAATGTGTTATAACCCATCATCCTTGTCCCTAAAAATAATAAACTTTTTTGTTTTTGTAAATTTGATTTAAGAGTTACATTTTGATTTCCTATAAAGGTAACTGCTAATAATATAAATTTCATAGCACTGTATTTCAAAGCAAATATCTGGATAACTCAATACTATAGAAGTACACATAAAATCCCATTCAAATGGAAAAATTTCTACGAACATCTATGCAAAAAAATTATATTTCATAACAATTTAAAGTTGAACTATTTCTTCACTTTTTTTTTTTTTTTTTTGGTACTGGGGATCCAACTCAGGTCCTTGCTCTTGCGAGGCAGGTGCCAGAACCACTGAGCTAACTCCCCAGCCCGAAGTTGAACTATTTCTGATGAGAACTGAAGCCAAGATTCATAAAGTAACTAGTCTGAGTGGCCATTTACTTTATATAAAATTATACATTTATATATAAATCCAAATTCTCCATTGTGGCTTTAAATACTCAATCAGGAAAATAAAATGGGAAGATTGTCTTTATTATTGCCCTCAATTATGTTCATTTAAAATTTTATATGTAAAACTTGGGGAACAGACAGTAAATAGCACTCCTTTTTTTTTTCCTATTCCCATTTGCAATTACCTAAGATATATTAAAGCATCAAAACTAACATTAATAGGATTTCCAGCACCGAGATGTGTGGACTCATCCTCACAAAACTAGGATGTTGTAGATGGTACTGTAATCCTCATTTTAAACATGCAGTCTAGTTAAATAACTTTGCCATGTTGCTGGAAAGGGAATGATCCAAACACCAGTAGTGAGAGTATAATGCTTAAAAGTGGGAATTCAGTGCATGTGCTTACTAATGACAAGGTAAGGGTAGGGCTAAGATGGAAGGTGAGGGTAGAAGAAAGGTCATTAAAGTTGAAGAAACCACATGTGGGAGTTGCTAGTGGAGCCTATAGTTTAGTTAAAGCAGGGTTAGAAAAAGGTTCATAGAACATAGATAATACAATATTTTGCTGCTATACCTTGAGTTCAAAGGGCACAATGTAATGTATAGAGAGTTGAGGATGAATGAAAGATTGGCTCAAAATTAGGGGTGTCAGAACTATGCAGGGCATGAGCCCTGAGAGGCCTGGACATTCTGTGGTGACCGGGAAAACAGCAATGCAGAGATGAAGGAATTAGTATTGTGGGAGTCTCTGAAAATAGCTGTCTGTCTTCATACCATTTGCTTAACCCACTTTACACATTTTAAAGTCAACATTTAAAACTTTTCATCATAAGTTAAAATAGTTATAACTAACTCAACTTCCAGTGAATTCAATGAAATATGAAAACCAACTATTATATCATTCTTTAAAATTAAAATGGAATTTGAATACCATCTTAATTTGATATCCTCATCATTCTTTTAAAAATTGATGGGCAAACTTTTAACAGTTAGAAATTTTACTTTGTATCTTTCTTCTTGAGCTTGAATTTCTATTCTATTTCCTTACAAGAATTTATCCTAATGTATCACAGTTTGATGCGATGGTCTTTATTGATCATCCTATATAACTATATATCAGGAAAATTCTCAAATCTTTAGATACTATAATTACTTCTATTTCAATGCTTTGTTAATAGCACTTCAAGAGTTACAAGAAAAATAACATATTAAGAGCAGAAATGAATTCAGTGTTCCTCCCTAAAAGTGGTAAGTAAAATTGTTGAAGGAAATAAAACACCTGGGTTTTCAAACTTTGAGACAGTTCCTTTCACTAGGCTACACTGTTTCTAAATAATAAATGAAAGGTAGTAAGTGAGCATTAGCCTGCAATCTGAAGAAGGAGCAGAAAATAGAAATAAATATTGACCTTAAAAGTTTTCCTACCAAAACCATGTCTGATGGCACATGCCTGTGATCCCAGCAATTGGGAAGCAGAGGCAGGAGGGTCGCTGCAAGTCTGAGGCCAGCCTGGGCTACACAGTGAGATTCTGTCTCAAAAACAAACAAACAAACAAACAAACAAAGTTTTCCTATCTTTGCCAGGCATGGTGGCATACTCCTCCATCTCAGCACTTGGGAGGCTGAGGCAGGAGGATAGCTGAGAGTTCCAGGAAGGCCCCAGCTACATAGTGAGTTCAAGGCCAACCTGAACTACATAGCAAAATGCTGTCTCAAAAAACAAAGTTTTCGTACCTTATTTTTTTTAACTTCTTTTGTAATAGTTTGAAATAAACTTGGAGGAGAAAGCTTTGAAATATTTCTTTTTGACCTCCGAGGTACTGTAAAATGAAGTCTTGGACTTGCAAGTACAATTTTACATGTATCTTCCATAGAATTGAGAAGACTAGTCTCTGTGGACACTGTCTTTTTTTGTTCTGTATTCTCCCCTTGTGAAGTCCCTTCTGTTGTCATATCAATATCAGAAACTATTCCTTGACTACCATTTTTAATAGGGATACAATTAGTACTAGAAGTTTCAACATCAGTATTTTGGAATTTTTCATCAGCAGAAGGAATGCTTTCTAAAACAAATATGTCCTTTTTGGACTTGGCGATTTCAACTATGTTCTCTTTTGAGTGAAGAAGCTGTTTAGTCAGCTGAGCTCCAGCTAATCCTTTGTTTGAGACTCCTACAGCTGAAACATTTTTGTGTTCTTGGTTCAGAATTGGAAGTTCTGCAAAAGATACAAAACAAAAATTATATAAGGATCATGAAATTAAAAGAGAGAAATAAAAGTCAAGTTAAAACTGCTTATATTAAAAAGAAGTCTTTCGCTTAGGCATACTCTATCCTCCTGCCCAGTCTTTCTCTGAGTGCCTCTGGCTTTTGAATAATTCATGCTTAATTGTCAATGCTTACTGCTCCAACTGGGAAACTAAGAAACTAAGAACACTTTACCATAAGTTAAATTGTGAAGCTGTGTTTTCTTTTCTTGGTGGTGTTGAGTCTTTTGATTGAAGGGAAGGAACTGTGATGATTCTAGAGTAACTTCTTGGACAGGAGCTTAAAAAAAAGGAAAAGAAAAAAGAAGTCAGTTACTACACAGGAGAAAAAAATGCTTTTTAAAATTAGGTTCAGTAATGATCAGACCAGTATGGTGTAATTCTGCAGTACATCAGAGGTACATTCATGTTTCCCTTTATTTCTTCTTATGCCTTCACTACATTCTCTATACTGGTATCATGGTGAAGAGGCATTTAGAAACTTCTCCAAGCCACAATCTTTCTGCTCTAGACAAAAGCATAGCATGAGCTGTCTGTGAGTGTGAGGATCTGGGAGTACCACCCAGTCTTAAAAAACTCTACTTGTTGGCCTGTCTGCGATCACCCGGCGGCGTGCGCGCGAGCTCCCGGCCTGCGTGGGAGCTCCCGGCCTGCGCGACAACAGACCCAGGAAGGACCCAAGGACCCCAGAG